GTTCCCTATACACCAAATATCTGTCAAAGACTTTGCAGGTGAAGTTGGAAACCAAAGTGCTGACCCAGGTGCAAGAACAGATATTGCTTTAACAACTGCAATGAAACATGCAGATACTATGTTTGTACTGTTCAGACGAACTATAAATGACTATTTTGTTTCTACAACCCCGGTATTAAATATCATATAAACATAGATGGCAAATATTATCCAAGAGAAGAATATTCTACAGTTGAGGATATGAGGTCATACAACTTGACATTAGATGCTATGAACTTTAACAACAACTTCACAACAACCATTAACCCTGAAATGCAAAGTTCTATTTGCCATATGTGAAAGTATGGACTCATACAGGAGGTCAAAAAACTCAATATACAAATGGAGACCGTTCAAACTTTTGGCTTGGCATTCCATTTGCTGACTCAGAAGACTTTATGGGTGGTATTTCAACTGTGTAGTACAGTTCAAATACAATATACTGGTGACAGAGACGGTCCAGATGAACTGAGAGCAAAGAAGTTTACAAAACCAATAGCACTTTTCACGGAAGATGCTCTTTTGAAGATTCGTTCGATGAAACCTGCTGGGGCTCCTCAGATTGGCATAACGACAGCTTCCATCGAGCAGATTTTGGCAGCAGGTCAGTAAGTTGTTCTTGAACTGACTTCTCTCCGTCAAATATTGACAGTACGCCAGTTTTGACATAATATTGTATTATAAACTTTCCTTTAGAAATATCTGTAAGTTTTGTTGTATATTTTTGTCAACGTCAAGAACTTTCACCATCTCGGTTATACCAACTTTCTTTGCTTTATGAAAATATTTAGGTTCAGCAAATATTGCTATTCTATAACATTTACCATTTTTGTATAAAGAACTATTCTGTCAATGTATTTGTATTTTTGTGTGTGTAAACTTTGTTCTGCTTCAATTCGAAGAGATACTCGAATACGTCCATCTTTTTATTCTAAGTAAAAATGTCATTTCCGAAAAATAGAAGCGTAAGTGTTTCAAAAGGTTTAATGGCGGTGGCAGATGTGAAGTTAAATTCACAACTCAAACAAACAGTCAAAGTGTTATTGTCAATGTCAAAGACAGAGATGTTGAAGTGGGGAAACCATACGAAGACGAAGATGGTATAGCAATTGTTCCTGTAAAAGAACAACCAACATATCCTGAAGTTAGCAGAGACTTAAGTTCTGTTGCAGATATTCGAAATGACTACCAACAACTTAAAGACAAACTTCAAACTCAGGAGAAGATTTGTCAAGCTTTAGGTATAATGTTAAACTTGGTCGAACACAACCCTGTAAAAGTGAACTCATATGTCATTGCACCTCATGAAGTCTTGAAAGAACTATTGAAACTTTTGACAGAGGCAGACGATATAAACATCAAAGAAATAGAACCCGACATTAGTTGCTGTGGTGTTTCATATAATGCCATTGACAAGATATACGTTATGAAAGGAGGTGAAACGTTGAACTTAAAGTATAGTTTCCCAGACGTCATAAAAATATTTGACGACCACAACATTTCATTAAAATTTATTTGCTAAGTAAAAATGTCAAAACTTCTTGAAAGATGTTTGAAGAAAAATAATATAGACTTTATTTCATGTAAAGGACTTTACACACTTTTGAACGATATGAAAGACCCTGTTTTGTTTGTTCGTGTAGACAAATGAAAGTTCTATGTCTTTACAAAATATTTGAACTTCTTAGACAGAGAACTTCAAGAAACGCCATGTGAAAGTTTAGATGAAGTTCTTCTCCACTTTCAGAAAAACTTTTAAATATATATAAATGGCAGAAGATATAATGGTTTATACTATTACGACTAAAAACCTGAGTCATATAATTCTATAACAACAAACTTACAAAGTCCTCAAGGACGGTATTGTAAACTAACTTTAAACACAATGACGACTAAAGCCTGTTTTGCTCTTTTGACACCAGAAGACTTTATTGTTGTGAATGGTAAAAAATACTCCTTTGAAGATACTTACTCAGATATACCACCAACAGGTTTTTGTTGACTTATTTAATACTTTAAGTACGGGTGTAACATGTGCTGCAACTAGAGCAGGTTTCATTATGTTTGGATGTCCGACTGAGTTTACTATAAACGATATGAGCTATAATACAAAACTTATTTCTGGTTTTTACTACCAACAGTTTCCTATAACAGGAAAAGGTGTCATACAAGGAATGTCTATTCCATTGACATTAAGCACACCAATCTTATATATTGTTTCAAACTTAGGTTCAAAGTGCTATTCGAATGTCGACAGAAACTATTATGACCAAAAGATACTTATGCGTATAAACAATACTTTCTCTGCTGGTTTGCCTATTGTTCATTCGAATGCAGAATTTTCAACCTTAGTGAACTCAAACACTTTGGCAAGTATAACGTTGACATTAGTTGACGCAAACTTTGTTCCTGTAAAACTTTTATGTCCTATGTATTTGTCAATGACGGCAGAAAGTTTCGAATTGGAAGATGCAACTGGTGAAAGTATTGTATTACAAGAACAACTTCAACAACAAATAGCTCAAGAACAACAAATGCAACAACAAAGTCAAGAATAAAAAAAATATTTTTTTTTATTTTTATAAAAATGTACAGAATAGATGTTTCAGATTTTTATGACTTCCAAGCATTCAGAAATATGTGTCCATTTCGAGACTATAACAAAGCAGTCGAGAATTTGAAACGTTTAGTCATTTATGTTGACTCTGCCCAGAATGTTATGTTATGAAAGAATGGGATGTAGTCTTTAACAAACCTAAAGCGACAATAGTTTCAGAACAAGAATGTAAACAGAAACTTAAGAAAATAAAAGTCGTACAAGTTGGCATGAAGATGTTAGATGCTTGGGATATCTTATTGTCAAAGTTAGAAGATTTTTCAGTTCGAGGTATAAAGTTTTATACACCTTCTCCAAACTTCTATTCTATCTTCACTGGATATAAATACGAACAAGTAGAATGGAAAGAAAATATTATAGAAGCTTGGTTAGACCATGTCAAAGAAATTATATGCAATGGAAACGAAAAGGTTTATGAGTATATCTTATGTTGGTTTGCAAACATCTTACAACATCCAAGTGCTAAAAATGAAACTGCTCTCATTATAATTGGAAAACAAGGAACTGGTAAGAACACATTCTTTACAGATATTTTGTGCAAACTGTTAGAAGGCTATTCGAACCCGAATATGACAAACTTAGAAAACATCTGTGGCAAGTTTAACTCCTCAATAGAGAATATGAAACTTATAGTTTGCAATGAACTTCAAAGTATAGATACAACAAAAGTTTTGAACTCAGATGCTTTGAAGAGTCTTATAACAGACAAAGTTGGTGTTGTTGAAAGAAAGTATAAAGACTCAAGAGTTTGTGAGAATGTTGCAAACTTCATTATGGTTTCAAACAATACTGTTCCGATGAAGTTAGAAAGTTCTGACAGAAGATATGTAGTTGTCAGAACGTCAGATTCTCATATGCAAGATACAGAATATTTTGACGACTTAGCAGAAACTTTGACATCTGACTTTTACAACCACTTGTTCTCATATTTTATGACATTAGATATTTCAAAGTTCAATCCAAGACAAATTCCACATACCGAAGAGAGACAAACATTGTTAGAAGCAAACAAGAGTGTATATGAACTGTTCATAGATGAAACTGACTTTGAGTGTTTAGATGAAAGGTCATTGTACGATTCGTATAAACAATATTGTCAAGAATATGGTTATATGACAGCGTCTAAACGAACATTCTTGGCAAATGTCAAAAGTCTTTTAGATGTTCAGAATGGTGTATATACAAAGAAAATTTTTTCTGAGTAAATTTTAAAAAAAAATATTTTTTTATCCGATAGAAAAGATGACAAAATTCATCTCAGTAAACAAGTACATGTCAGGACTTAAAGAAGAACTAGACCCATTCACATATTTGAATGTTTACTTCTACCATTTTGAAAAGTCTTCATTCAGCAAAGTTTGGAACATCGAACCAGTTAAGTTTGCTATTGTGACTAAAAATGGTGCGAAATTTGAAGACTTAGACATAGAAGGTTCGTTAGCAGTCAAAGAAAGTTTTGACAGAAGGTTTTCAAACCTTAAAGAAGGCAAAGCATACAAACTTGTTATACCTTATGAACCAAAGAAAGCAGACGACTATGAATATTATGAGTCTAAGATAGTTGAAGTTCAAGGTAAATTGGGTAAAAAGATTTTAGAGTCTAAGCCAGTGTTTGCTCCTAAAGAGGAAGAGAACATTGACATTGACCCAGAAATGTTCTAAAAATAAAAGTTTATTTTTACATGTCAAATTTCTTTTTCTCTGGAACTGGTTCAGGTTCTTTCTTCTCTTCTTCTACTTTCTTTTCTTTTTTTCTCTCTTCTTCTTTTCTGGTGGAGTTATGTCAAATTTCTCCGAACCATATTTATGTAAAAGTTCTTTGTCCTTTAATAGCTTTCTATTCTGTTTTCTATTTCATCTTCAAGAACAGCGCATGTGTCTTCTTTGCATTCTAAGAACTTTTGTTGGACTTCATCTTTCCAATCGGTGTCATCTCTGTCAACAAGTCTGTCATTGACAAATTTTAAGACTGCTCTGCTTAATGTTTTATGGTTCTTGTCATATTCCAGAAACAGAACTTTAGAACAAATTCACCTTTCTTGTTTACACTATGTAAGATTTTATGGTCGACAGATGTTTTTAGAGTCGAAAAGCTTGTCTCGAATATAGATAGCGAAATCGCTAGACATTTTCTAAAAGATAAAAATTTTAATTTTTCTAAAAATATGTTAGAAAAAAAGTTTGCTGACATTGACAAGAAATTTGAGAATGTTTTAAACAAGAACAAGAGGAAGTTAGAAAATGCTCAGATAAAACCCATACATGACAAGTTCTTATTTGCTCAGAATGGTATAACAGGTCTAATTGCACACCTGGGTCGGGTAAGACTTTCACTTATCTTAAAATGGCTGCACAACAACAAGAACTAGATGAGAAGAACCCATTCTATGAGTTAGTAGTCATTTGTAGTACTTCTGGTCAATTTGACCAAACCGTCAATTCGTTCAAAGATATTATAAAGAAGTCTAAGTTAGTATGTATAAAGGATACTGAGTTGTTAGATTGGATAAAGAAGTACCAAAGAAGAGTTTTGAAGTATAATGCTATAAATGAGTATATAAATTCTAAGTTTAAAGACCCAAATGAGGAAATGCAGAGAATATTAGAGAAGAAACACTTCAGAAACAAACAGAAAGAGATAGAATACATTTCGAAGAAATTGCAATCTTACGATTGGAAGACTTACCCTCATAGATGTCTTCTTATCTTAGATGACTTTGCTTCTCATCCTTTGTTAAAGAACAGAGAACAAGATATGTGTCGAATTCTTAAGAAGCTCAGACACTTTAACATCTCAGTTGTCATTTGTGTACAGACAGCAAAGAGTTTAAGTAAGGATGTTAAAAGAATACTTACTGACATTATACTTTTCCCTGGATTGTCCGAAGACGATTTCATGGAACTTATGAAAGAGTCCATGGCAGGTAAGTTTGACAGACATGAACTATGGGAGAAGTATAAAGTCATACAAGACCCTCATACTTCTTTCAGAATTCATATCTACGCAAACAAAGTTCAAATTGTAAAAAGTCAAGCTTGAAAAATAAATGGCTCATCTACTCTACTTGTTTGAAGTTGTCAAAATACTCTGTTATTTTTTCCTTTAACAATGGCAAATCTTCTTTGAAGGTAAGTATTGTACAACCTTTCATATCATAGTGTGTTTGAGGTAACGTATCTTGAACTATTTGTTTCACATCTTCATTTGGGGTCATTGAAATCGGTAAGTTTTCGCGATAGAACCAATTTCTGTCAGATTTGTAAATCTTAGCAAGGTCGTAAAAGCTTTTGTTGTTTCTTCTGACTAAATGCAACATAACCATATCTTTATCTTCTTCTTTCTCCATCTCTTCAGTATAAATCATATACTTATAGTTCTTTTCCTTTCCTTTTGGTACCGAACGTGGTATTCTTTTCTGAATGCTTTTGTCTTTTGCTTCAAGCTTGTTCTCTAGCTCTTCACGTTCTTGTCTATGAATTTCGTCAAGAAGTCTGTAAATATACCAAGCATAACGAGGCGAAGCCCACATTGCAACAGCATTTACAAGAAGTCTATGTACATAATATCCTCTCAAACCGTTTGGCAATTTTTCACGATTTTCATAGAGTTTTGGCGACCCAGAAAAAAGTCGGTCTCGCTGTGCTTCGCTCAAAAGTTCTTGTGTGCTTTGGTTCCTAAACCAGTCTTGTGGTTTCTTAGTATCTGGAGCAAAACATGCTGTCAAAATACTTTGCATTTGGTACATATCGTCTTTGACCGAACGAATGAGACGGAGTTGTTTGTTAAACTGTATGTACTCGTATTCTTCATTTATAGCTTCATGGACTATAACTGTTGTTGTGTTCTCTGTTGTTGACATATCTGTCTTTACATACAAAATAAAAAAATAAATAAAAATAAAACTAACTTTATTTTTTCTATCTTAAGGAAATTCATGATTTTCATAGAGTTTTGGCGACTACGTTTTTTTACGTACTCGCTGTTCTTCACTGTTTTCATAGAGTTTTGGCGACTACGTTTTTTTACGTACTCGCTGTTCTTCACTGTTTTCATAGAGTTTTGGCGACTAAGGTTTTTTACCTACTCGCTGTTCTTCACTGTTTTCATAGAGTTTTGGCGACTAAGGTTTTTTACCTACTCGCTGTTCTTCACTGTTTTCATAGAGTTTTGGCGACTAAGGTTTTTTACCTACTCGCTGTTCTTCACTGTTTTCGTACGGAATCTCGACCCGCGGTTTTCCTCGGGTCGCAAACATATGAGGAAATTCTTCTAAAAGTTCTTTTGTCTGTTGGTTTTCAAACCAATGATGTGCTTGCTTTGTAGAACGAAGAGCATTCAAAATACTTTGCATTTGGTACATATCGTCTTTGACCGAACGAATGAGACGTAACTGTTTGTTATACTGAACCCACTCATATTCTTCATTTATGGCTTCATGAACTATAACTGTTGTTGTGTTCTCTGATGTTGACATATCTGTCCTTACATACAAAATAAAAAAATAAATAAAAATAAAACTAACTTTATTTTTTCTATCTTAAGGAAATTCACTGTTTTCATGAGTTTTAGGCGACTAAGGTTTCTTACCTACTCGCTGTTCTTCACTGTTTTCATACGGAATCTCTTCTCTCAGTTTTCCGAGGGAAGCAATCTTATGCCATTTTACTCAGATTTTTGGTCATTTTTCAGCAAAAATATATTTTAGGGTAGAAGGTTAGATCTAACACGTTTTCTACCCTCGTGAATTTTCATGATTTCTTCGTAAATGTTTTGTCAAACATGAACGTAAATGTTTTGTCAAACATGAACGTATATGTTTTGTCAAGACTTCTTCGTAAATGTTTGTCAAACATGAACGTACATGTTTTGTCAAAACTTCTTCGTAAATGTTTTGTCATGACTTCTTCGACATGCTTTGTCAAGACTTCTTCATCGTAATGAGCGTAAATGTTTTTGTCAAGACTTCTTCATCGTAATGAGCGTAAATCAGACAAAAATAATGTTTAGGTGAAGAGGTGCGATCTCACCTGTTTTTTCACCTGTTTTCTCACATGGTCTAAAACATACAAAACTCATGAAATTTGTGCTGAATTCAGCAAAAATAATGTTTGGTAGGTAGAAGGTTAGATCTAACCTCCTTTCTAACCTGTTTTTTTCACAAGCGTTTTACATGGTAAGCGTTATTTTTTGACGAAGTGAACATTGACACTTCGTCAAAAAAATCCCTGAAATCATATCTTACATACAAGATAAAAAAATAAAAACTAACTTTATTTTCTGACTTTCACAAAAGACCAAAAAAAACGCTTGTGAGAAAACAGGTGAAAAAACAGGTGAGATCGCACCACTTCACCTAAACATTATTTTTGCTGAATTCAGCACAAATATAATTTAGGGTAGAAGGTTAGATCTAACCTCTTTTCTACCCCAGTTATTTCACAACCGTTTTACATGGTAAGCGTTATTTTTTGACGAAGTGAACATTGACACTTCGTCAAAAAAATCCCTGAAATCATATCTTTTATACAAAAAAATACAAAAAAATAAAACTAACTTTATTTTCTGACTTTCACAAAAGACCAAAAATAAACGCTTTACATGTATTTTTCAGCAACTTCGTCAAATAATTTTATAGCTTTATCTATCTCATCTACTTCAAACGTTTCTTTACCTTTCGTGGGAGCACCATACATTTTCTCAAACTTTTCAAGTAGTTCTGTTTCAGCAGCTCTCATATCGTTAACGAACACAACCTTGACTCTATTGACTGTACTGTCATATCTTTGAGTTATATTATATGTTCTTCCTATCTTATATCTCTTTGTATTGAAGTCCTTCGGTTTCTGAACGATGTAAAGTAAGCCTTCACTGCAACGTTCCGTATCGAATGAACCATATGTTATGAAGTTATATCCAACAACTGGGTCTAACCATAACAAAACTATTGGTATAAGACTTTTGTCAATGAGATATGCTGCAGTTCCATAGAATCTTACTGATATCATGAGCTCAGGATTTCTTGTCAAAATTTTCTGAGTAGAAGCAATTCTAACCCAGTCCTTTGTTTTCTTTCCAGATGGAGATAAAATGTCTGACAAAGAATATTTGTTGTATTTCTTTGAGTATCTTACGTTTAAATCACCTATTCTAACCAATTTGGTGTCATTGTCTATCTTTTTAACTGTTTCAAACTCAGTGTTTGTCATATATGTCTTTACATACAAAATAAAAAAAATATTTTACAAAAAACTAACTTTATTTTTTCTATCTTGTATAAAAGATATGATTTCAGGGATTTTTTTTACGAAGTGCAAAAGTTCTCTTCGTCAAAAAATAACAGTTATATAATGAAATTTGGTCATTTTTTCACGATTTTCATGAGTTTTAGGCGACCCCGAAAAAAGTCTGGGTCGCAATTTTTCACGATTTTCATGAGTTTTAGGCGAGTAAGATTTTCTATCTTGTATAAAAGATATGATTTCAGGGATTTTTTTGACGAAGTGTCAAAGTTCACTTCGTCAAAAAATAACAGTTATATAATGAAATTTGGTCATTTTTTACGATTTTCATGAGTTTTATGCTAGACCGAAAAAAGTCGGTCTAGAGAAATTTCACTCAAAAGTTCTTGTGTGCTTTGGTTTTTGAACCAATGTCTGTATGTTTGGTTTCTGGAGCAAAACATGCTGTCAAAATACTTTGCATCTGGTACATATCGTCTTTGACCGAACGAATGAGACGGAGTTGTTTGTTAAACTGTATGTACTCGTATTCTTCATTTATCTTGTATAAAAGATATGATTTCAGGGATTTTTTACGAAGTGTCAAAGTTCACTTCGTCAAAAAATAACAGTTATATAATGAAATTTGGTCATTTTTTTCAGCAAAAATATATTTTAGGTGAAGAGGTGCGATCTCACCTGTTTTTTCACCTGTTTTTTCACAAGCGTTTACATGAATTGTACGATGTATATTTGAAATCCTAAACAGTTTTGTAGCCTCTATCTTCTTTTAGTACATCGAATGTTTTAACAATGCCGAAAAGTTTCTTATACTTCTTCTTGACGTCAGACAGAAGGAAATCTTCTGCAGTTGGATAGTTTTTGTTCAGAAATGCTAACATGTCCATTTTATTTTCTGCTGGTTTCTCTGCTTCTTTCTTTAAGTCTGCATAGTCGTTTCTCATTCTTTCTATCTCTTTGACGGAGTAGTTATATCTCCTCATTGCCGCTTTACATTTTGAACATTGCGGGTTCATTTTTGCGTTATACATTGAAACCTTACCTGCTAGAACAACTAAAGCGTCAATGGTTTTCTTTAACTCAAAAGTTGCTGGTTTTATCTGTTTGTTCCATACCTTACCTCTTCTATCTTTATCTCTTATCTGCCATACACATTCAGCAACTAACGAAACAAAGTTGTCGTAGGTCTTAAATTCTTCAGATTTATATATGTCAGAAACATTCTTATATACCATGTCGCAATCTTTGTCCATAACCTTATGGTTGCAATGAAATCCTAGAAACTCATAGTTTACCTTACGAATGAACTTCTTTATTTCTACTGAGTCAGTTGCTTTGACTTCTATTTCATCGAATTCAGGAATAGTGAGTTTTTGTTGCTGAATTTCAGGTAGTTTAGGCAAATGGTCAATAATGTCCTGCATTTCATAAAGATACTGTTCATTTGTTTCATCTTTCGCACTACAGTCTAAATTACATGTTAACAGTTCTTGCTTTATCTTCTGGATTTCTGTTTCGAAAGTATATGAAGAAGGAATGAAGCTTTTCATCTCTACTAACATAGATGTTGGATTCATGACTAACGAGTTTGGTGCTGTTGTTTGAAGTGTTGTTGTGCCGATTGTTGACATTTTTATTTTTTTATACAAAATAAAAAAATAAAAAAAAATAAAACTAACTTTATTTTTTATTTCGGGAAGATTCATGACAAATTCAAGAGGTGAAAAAAAGAGGTGAAAAAAGAGGTGAGATCGCACCACTTCACCTAAACATTATTTTTGTCTGATTTACACTCATTACGAAGAAGTCTTGACAAAACATTTACGAAGAAGTCATGACAAAACATTTACGCTCATTACGATGAAGAAGTCTTGACAAAACATGTACGATGAAGTCTTGACAAAGCATTTACGTTCATGTTTGACAAAACATTTACGAAGAAGTCATGACAAAACATTTACGTTTATGTTTGACAAAGCATTTACGATGAAGTCATGACAAAGCATTTACGTTCATGTTTGACAAAACATTTACGATGAAGTCATGACAAAACATTTACGTTCATGTTTGACAAAACATGTACGAAGAAGTCTTGACAAAACATTTACGAAGAAGTCTTGACAAAACATTTACGAAGAAGTCTTGACAAAACATTTACGAAGAAGTCTTGACAAAACATTTACGAAGAAGTCTTGACAAAACATTTACGATGAAATCATGACACTTTTTCATTAGATAACTGTTATTTTTTGACGAAGTGAAGATTGACACTTCGTCAAAAAAATCCCTGAAATCATATCTTACATACAAAAAAATACAAAAAATGACACTTTTTCATTAGATAACTGTTATTTTTTGACGAAGTGAAGGTTGACACTTCGTCAAACAAATCCCTGAAATCATATCTTACATACAAAATAAAAAAATAAAACTAACTTTATTTTTTCTATCTTAAGGAAATTCATGAAAATTCAAGAGGTGAAAAAAAGAGGTGAAAAAACAGGTGAGATCGCACCACTTCACCTAAACATTATTTTTGGGTCCTTTACACTCATTACGATGAAATCATGACAAAGCATGTACGTTCATGTTTGACAAAACATTTACGAAGAAGTCTTGACAAAACATTTACGAAGAAGTCATGACAAAACATTTACGAAGAAGTCTTGACAAAACATTTACGAAGAAGTCTTGACAAAACATTTACGAAGAAGTCATGACAAAACATTTACGAAGAAGTCATGACAAAACATTTACGAAGAAGTCATGACAAAACATTCATGAAAATTCATGAAAATTCAAGAGGGTAGAAAAGAGGTTAGATCTAACCTTCTACCCTAAACTTTATTTTTTGGTCCGGGAACAACTTTCTCTCAATTGGAGCTGTAGCATACTCTTTGCGTAAACGGTTCAGACCTTCTTCGAACTCTTGGGCTCTCTTCGATTGGGATTGAGATTGGAATTGCTGGGGTGGAGCTTGCTGGAACATCCAAGGGTTGGGGCAGTAAGGCATAGGCTGAGGAGGGTAGTTCGGGAAGCCTTGTGGTGGGTAGTAACCTTGAGGTGGAAATTGGTAGTAAATCGGAGGTACTTGCTGGAACTGAGGTGCAGGGGCTGGTGCTTTAGGTTCCTCTGGTTTGGGAATGGACTGGGTTGGTGGTACGTCGGACATTGTCTTGAAACAGTACAAATATTGTTCTGAAGCAGTGCAAGTCTTGTTCTGAAAAAGTACAAG